ACAAGAAAGGAAAAAATGCAAATTGTTTCGGTGCTCAACCTTGGATTCAAATGCTCATTTGATATGTTATAGAATGACAAATAATGAACCAAATACTACAGTCTTGAGCTTAAGWATGTTATCCTGACCTTAAGTCAGCTCAAAAAGCGAAGGTGATTTGAATCCACAATTTACAAGAATATGAATTTTGTTGCTCCAAAACAGCATCGTTTACCATGATGATCAATGAGTCAATATTCTTTCAAAGACCATGGACATGTTCAATAGGGTCTACAGATTTATCTGCTTGCTCTCGATTTCCAATCAAAGTCAAACTGAAACGCTGGGAGTCATTGGAAATATAAGCATTTYGAAGCACGGGAAACACTCTCGCGTCCGCCATCTTGTTTTCAGGAGTTTTGGCGCATGCGCAGCGGTTTTTTAGCCGTGTCTATTTAGGGCGTATTCAAAAATTTCCACTCTGGAGACCGTTTTTGAAATTTCCGGATACGGATACAAAAATTCCCGGACACGTGTGGACGCAACCCGTATCCGCAAAAAAAATTTGCAGATACAAAAATTTCCAGATACGTGTGGACGGGGCCTTAGGACCTTCTGTGAGTTTAAAAAAGAAGCACTATTGACGTCGTCTTGGTATTCTTAAAAGAGTTTTACTCCTAAACCGGTTGGAAAAACAACATTGATTAATGCTTTTCACTTCTAAGGATCTTAAAACATTTCAATTATGCGTTCGGTATGTATAATGAAGTAGAGAGAATAAGAGAAAAATATCAAATGCCCTTGGCGGGAATCGAATCCACGTCTTCGGTATTCTAGTCCGATCGGACATCACATCGGACTGGAGTACCAGAAGACGTGGGTTTGATTCCCGCCAAGGGCATTTGGTATTTTTCTCTTATTTTCTCTAAACTTTCCAGAGATGGAAGATCTCGAAAATTTTAGTCTCCCCTGCAGCCATTTTTAGTTTCGTTGCGTGACGACACTATAAAACGCTGGGGGAGGAGGCGGGGACTAAGGACAGGGGATAAACCAGAATACGGGCAACCTTTAACAATATTGGTGATAATTGAATATTACTAATGATGAAACCTCAAACTGAAATAAACTACAATTTTGTTGCAACCATTCATTTGATAATCTTCGTCAGTCGATCATTATTTTTATCCGATGTTATTTTAACCAGTTAAGATATAGTTTAGTATTAATGAATGGTCATCATCTGCAACTGCTGCAGATTTCAGCAAGTACTTTTTGACACTGCAGGCAGTATCAGGAAATGTGCTGGTGTTTGGAGCTTGTTTGTTAGACGTCCAGGTTTAACCCTTCCATTTCGCTTGATGGCTACGAACGTGTCATAAAACGCCTTTTGGTAGTACTTGGATGAAGCGAAGGTGATGTAACCACTGCTTTGCATCTTCTCTACAAACAGAGTCTCCTCTTCGCCGGWCTGTTTCTGTGGAAAATAAAAGYCAGACTTGTGTTGAAACTAAGACAATTAATCTGCCAGAACTGTTCTCGTACTTTCTTAGAAGTTATCTTACTGTGGAATAGACGATTCCTTTGTTGTTCATGGCCAGATATCGTCCACTAGCAACACCTTTTATCATTTTCAGTCCTGCTCTTCCTACTGACAGCAGCTCGAGTTGAACTAAAATGTTGAGGGACGAGAAAAGATTTGTCAACAAAAAATAAAAAATAAACAAGGTTTGAAGACATTATAACTGATATCAAGTGAAACGAACCGTAAAAATGTCGTGTGGCTACGAATCCATGACCGGATGTCAGGKTGACGTAAGTATGACCTCATAAACAGAATCTTTGGGATACAATATTGAATGTACTAAAATGGGGAAGTCGTGCAGTTTTAGCAATAGCGTCGTCTCATTAAGTAGTGAACTCTCACAGTTTGCCATCACAAGCCCAATGCAATAAATTTGTTGGGCTGGACTTATTGAAGAGAAGGCSTTGTTTGAATATCACAATTGAAAGAACCAAGATATGTGTAATCATAGTTCAAGTCTTGCAATAAACTTCTTATCGTACAAACACGTAGTTCTCGTTACATACCTTTGCTATGGCTAAAACAGTACCTTGCATCGCAGATGTTCTTTATCAGATGAGAGTGATCTTCAAGCTTGCAAGCAGCATTTTATATGTCACAAGTGAATGGAAAGAATCAGGTTCTGTAGGACGATAGATATGGATGATTTGTTGGAGGATAATTTCTTGTGATAATAGTATGTTTTTTATAAACTATTACCTTAGGTTACTGTTGATTTTGGACTATTTTTCTCACTATTTTTTTCATGCAGAGTTCCTTTGTTATCTAAACTGATCTAAGCAAAAAACATGCAAAAAATTTAATAAAAACACAGCCTGGCAGGCTAGCTACATGGATCTATGATCAATGAAAGAACCGAATGAAAAAGATTTAAGAAAAGATGGAAGAAAAAAAAAAAACACTTAATGGAAAAGTTGCTGTCTGTCATCCTGTTCTGGTATTATTATTTATATGTTACACTCAAGTCATAAGAGTCTAATGGTAATAATTTTTGAAATTGTGCAAATGATTTTATGGGGCAAGGAGAAGAYGGTATCATTGTTGAATTAAATTGGTCACACCCGCCTGGGTAATTCACTTTTCCATGGCATTGTTCAGATGTTAAATCATGTCACACGGCACTCGCTTTAAAGGAGGGTCCCATATTATGCTCACATCTCTTTTATATTGATTACTAAAAAATAAAAATAATAAATATCATCCGTTCTTTATGAAGTACGTTGTTTTCATTTCATGTGATTAATATCAAGGGTTAGTAAAATAACTCAAATGATTCAAATTCATGTGAACATCGTTTGATGCTTTGATCGTTTCGTAACACTCTTAATGTGGCCAAACTTCAATCAACATGAATCAAGGTTTTAACAAATGGAAAACAAACTGAGTTTCCGGCCGTATTTTATGATATAGCATAGAAAAATCTTGATAACTTCAAGAAGCTGCACTCAAACTATGAATTTTTTTTAGGTTATTCAACACCTTACCCCATGTAGAATCAATACTGTAAATATTGTCAGAAGGGTTATAGCCACTTTAAGGCTGTAACAATCTTTTTAAACTTTATGTAAAAGCCATGGCTACGACCATTGTARAAAAACCTTAATATATTCAATTATTTGCAATTAATTATAACTTTATTTAATCAAATACTTCTTAAATTTTCAGGAAAAACCTAGAAAAGAACTGCTTTGAAAAATGTGTTTACCAAGTCCAAGTCACAATGAAGCTATCAGCAACTTCCGCTAAAGGAAAACACTTGAATTTCATTGTCGAAGAACCTTAGCTAAAGAATCTCAAATATGTTTGCGTATCMATAATAAAGGAGAAAAGATTCTTAAGAAGATATCTGTGTTTAAAAAATGTTTTAGATTTATATTTTGTATCAATTGCCCGAGAAACATGCCCTATTTATAGCAAAAAACAAAAACAACAACAACAGGAAGCGTAGACTGGGGCTGATGACTACAGAACATGGATGCTCATTAGTAAAAGCGCTTTCCTGTTGTAATTAATATAGGTTAATATTCAATTTTTTAATCTCACTTTATTAAGGGACAGTCGTAATTGGGGAAACCTATGACGCTCTTTCTTACCTCACGTCTTGTAATTCCTTTAAAGAAAGTTTCTTCATTTTTTTATGATGTGAGGTAAAGCTAAATAAATAAATAAACTGGCTAGCCGAAATGATTAGAAGTCACACTTCATGTTGAAAATGGGAGARGTCGGAGAGAAGATAATACCAGCGGGTTCTATACGGACAAAAATGTTCGTTTATTCTACGAAACTAGTACTCTTTTTAACTGTATGTAAAAGCCATGTCTACGACCATTGTCGAAAACCCTAAATATAAATAATCTTAGAAATTAATTATACGGGGAACCTTGCATCAATGCAAGTAACAAAAAACAAATGACTGCAAAAATGACAAATACTCCATTGCTTTAGTAAAAAAAAATAAATGGTTTGTAAAAAAAGTATACTAATATCACAAGAAATTATCTTCCCAAAACTTGATCACGGTTTTATGAATGCATCGTTCAAATATGATCGTACTTTCCCCCGCAAATCATCCATGTCTATCGTCCTACCCAACCTGATTCTTTCCATTCACTTGTAGAATATAAAATGCGGCTTGCAAGCTTGAAAATCACTCTCATCAGAGAAAGAACATCTGAAGCAAGGTGCTGTTTTAGCCAGGGCAAAGGTATGTAACGAGAACTACGTGCTTGTACGATAAAATGTTTGGTTCTCTTGGTTAATTCTTTCAATTTTGATTTTTTTRTTTGAATAGTTGCACTGTGTTTGCACACCCATTATGTTAGTAAATCTACAAACGCCTTCGTCATGGAAGCCCCCTTTCCAAATATTTCTCTTTCAACGAACCGCGTGCTGTGGAAAATTTCTTGCAGTAGGCACACATGGATCTTATTCATATCAAAGCGAATGAACTATCTCGTTCATCAACAARCATTTTCAACATCTTATTTTCAATGCCTTTTTCCATATTTTTCAGATGACCGTCTTTTTATCTACCCGTCTTTTCGTAATCTTGGCCACTATCATGGTTAACAGTCATGAAAGCTTTGCTAACGCAATGTCAACTACCTCCATTTCTGCTGCTGGTCGTCCGGCATTGCTCCAGTCAAGAACATCCATCCTTCCTCAAGGTACCTCTATCAGTATGATTGGCAAGCTGTACAGCAGAACCAAGATGTTTCTACAGATTGACATGAACGGACTGGTCAGCGGTACTGCAAACTGCTCTAGTAAATTCGGTAAGACGCGAAAGTTAAAGTTAGTAAAAGTAAAAGTTCATTTTTCATGTTAGCGACTTTAGTATTGAATGCTTTACTCCTGAAAGAGAGCTTTAGCAAAGAATTTATTGAGTAGAGATATACTGATTTGATGAAATTATAAGAGGTTGAACTACTGAGACGATCCAAGAGAATATGAAGTAAGTTACTTAATATTCTCTTGGACGATCCTTTTGCTAAAACTGCACGACTTCCGCATTTTTAAAAATGTATTAAAATACATTGATATTGTTACCGAAAGTTTCTGTTTAAAGATCATATACGCGTGCTCCCTCATTCTGTCACATATCCGGTCATGCGGATTCGTAGCCACWTACGTTATTTTTACGGTTTGTTTCACTTGATATCAGTTATATGTCTTCAGACTTTCTTTCTTTGTTTTCTTTTTTTCTGTTGAAAAATCTTTTCTTGTCCCTCTACATTTTAGTTCAACTCGAGCTGYTGTCAGTAGGAAGAGCAGGACTGAAAATGATAAAAGGTGTTGCTAGTGGACGATATCTGGCCATGAACAACAAAGGAATCGTCTATTCCACAGTAAGATAACTTTAAAGAATTTACGAGAACAGTTCTGGCAAAGATTAATTGTCTTAGTTCAACACGTCTGACTTTTATTTTCCACAGAAACAGTCCGGCGAAGAGGAGACTCTGTTTGTAGAGAAGATGCAAAGCAGTGGTTACAACACCTTCGCTTCATCCAAGTACTACCAAAAGGCGTTTTATGACACGTTCGTAGCCATCAAGCGAAATGGAAGGGTTAAACCTGGACGTCTAACAAACAAGCTCCAAAAACCAGCACATTTCCTGATACTGCCTGCAGTGTCGAAAAGTACTTGCTGAAATCTGCAGCAGTTGCAGATGATGACCATTCATTAATACTAGACTTCATCTTAACTGCATGGCTAAAACATGGATATAAATAATGATAGACTTTTAAGATAAGTTTTTAAATAAGGTAAACATAAAGTGATGAAGATTATTAAATGAATGGTACACTAACAAAATTGTGGTTTATTTTTGATGTTTCATCATCTTACTATTCAATGTAGTATCACCAATACTGGTAAAATTTGTTCAAATTCTGGTTGATTTCCCCGCCTTGATTCCCGCGGATAGATCTTCTTTTCCATCTCTGAAATTGGAAATAGTTTGAGATCCTGAAAAGTGCAAAGCATTAACGTTTATAGAGGTAAAACTCTTTAACTAAGAATACGAAGAAAAACTTTTTAAATATTGCTTCTATTTGATCCGTGAAGACCTAAAAGTCCGCCTTATATTCAAAACAAAAAGTACTAGACAATAGTTTTTCTACAAGGTTTCCTAATGTTGAACGGCGTTTTATTTTTAGATTTCACGGCACGTGTCTCCTACAATTGATGTATTTTGCATTACACGACCTCACCCTGATATGCATGGGTGCTTTAAGTGRAACACATGGACATTATAACAACAGATTGTCTAGAACCTAGAAAAAAGATCTGAAAAGCCTGTGTTCGTTTTAACCCTAGCAAATTGTAATAAACTCGTTTTGATGTTCTTCAAAGCGAGGCTAATAGGGCCCCGACTATTATCGTCCTCGTTTTAGGAGAGTGGTACCTAATGGCCAATGGCTATTATTAAACAAAGGGTGGTTGTATCCGACTGTTGACAATAAATAAGCGCTAAATTTATCTTACTTATTCTTTCGGGATACCTATGGAATACAGGTGGTAGAATTATAAAGATACAGGCATTAGGACTGGTGTTGACTGGCCAGCGCTGGCGCACAGTTAGACGGAGAGTAAACGAAAGAAGCAGAGGAGGATCTATTAGTATACAAGTGCCTTTACACACTTATTATTGTTTTCTTTGGCTTTCAACGGTTTATGTGAACATTTTTTTGTAACGATACTTCTACCACTAATATTACTGATACTAAGGCGTTGGTTTAGCATTCGATAAAGACATGTTCGACTAATTCGGCAAATAAAAGTAGMCAGTTGTAGGATTTGTACTGAACCTGAAATTACTCAAAAAGTATTGCAGTATTTTTAATAAATGTTTCAAAATCTCTTGAAGAATTTAGAAATAGATATCGTTAAGAAGTATGAAATACACTCTTAAGTACAATTGATTTTTTAATTTCGAAACATAAATTTTAGCTGTTTGAATAAAAAAAATGTCTCACTCGCAATGCATTCTGGATCCTCCTCTGAGATGGAAGCTTTGAGTCTTATTACTGAGTTTTATAATCACAGAGTTAGAGAATTGATTTCTATACTGACTACCAAAATAACCATTTGTACCGATTCAGTTCCAATATCGAGTACTAATTGTAAGTAAACTAAGAAAAAACTTAGTACAAGGCATATTGATCTCTTGTGTCAACAGGTATTTTGCAGGTGTTCATGTCAGAAATAAAAGATTATAAAAACGTAATTTAGAACCTTATGCTAAGCTATGTAAACAAGAGAMTCTGAGAAACCAAATTCGAAAAGCACTGAGATGACTGGCTAGTATGTTATACAGAGACGACAGTCCACGTGCATTTACTTTACAGATCTATAACCTTATTACCAAGTGGTCTAGGTTTTCCTATCGTAGAATCCAAGAACGAACTTGGAAATAGAATGCTATGATATAAGCGATGACGGTAGCATCCGTTTGTGTCAAATATATTGAATTAAATGTTCCAATTTTAATTGTAATCTAAATTTAAATTTAAAAAGCAACAAAAACTACTAGTTGCTGTGGCATTGCTAAAAGCCCATCCTTGAAGAAGTCAAAATATTCTTCGTAATAACGCCTCCTTAACTTAGACTAGGCTTTTTATTAACATATTTATTAGTAAATATTGCTTGCCACCCAGTAAATGTGGACACACCTTTYTTTAAGGGCGTAGTCCTCATGACAGACGCTTACTGTCTAGCTGAGAAAGAAGTCTACCATTATAAAGAGACTCAAAAATCTCGAAACAAATTCAGTGCAACAAAGCAGGTTATTTCATTCATGAGCCGGATTAAGAATTCTATTTATAACGGTCACTATATTTTGATAAATAGTGAAACCAGCTTAGAAAAGGCGTAGTCCACTAACTATTTTGAGACTCGACTAAAAAATATTATTGTCATAACAAATTGAAAATCCGTCTTGGATTGACTCAAACTAACCAAAACCAGTGTCGAAAAAGCCAAGCTGGAAYACCTGATCAATAAGAATTCATTGCATTGTCATTGTTTTCTTTCTACAAACCAGGAAAAGGGCGCAGTCCGACTGAACAAGCATTTCCACTGGTAAATATATCTTATCAATGTGAAAAGTGGCACTGCAAGTAAGGAAATTCTGGAACTGCAAATATTCTATAGGATGAGCAATTCAAATCTCTCCTTCATCTGCCCAAGCTGTGTGTTAGTTTAGAACTTTATCAGTAACGGTCCGTGCATCGAGGAGATCTTTGGACGGGTCGAGCATCAGAGTAGGTTGATAARTACATAGAAGATGGGGGGTTTTATCAGCACGATTCGAGACATAAAAGTCATTCTTAGAGACTTGAAAATAACTCTGAAATTCACCGCTAAGATCGTACTCAAGGYCCATGGAATTGTTGACGATATTGAAAATACCGTTCAGGAACTTAAGACGACTGTAAACAATCTATCGGCAAGGGTGCCTGCGCAGACCGCGACAATACAGGAACAACTAATGGAGGAAAAGTCAGCAACGTATCTGAATGAAGTTGTTCAGTGTATTGAAACTACAGCTGATTCAGTGAAAACTTCACTCGCTAATGCCATAAGTGTTTTGACAAGCGATGACTTACTCAAAAACACAAGTGACGCCTTTGATAATCTGGTTAGTAATCATTCTGGGACGAACTTGTCTGGGGTAATGGCAAGATGGGCAAGCATTCCTGATGGAATAGGTGATTTGGTTAGACAGGACTGCATTAGTTTAAATGACTACACACAAAGCAGTAACGGCGTGAAGTCTTTGAAGGCAAAAACAAGTGACAAGACAGATGACAATCAGTTAACTGAATTGGCAAAATCGTCTGCCAAGATGAATGAATTGGATTCAAAAGATGACATGAGTCGTCCTATTAGTGGAAATGATGAACTGGATAATAAGATGGAAAAAATCCCAAGGAGAAATGTCAAAGAGATTTCATTTATAGAACATAGTGGCACAGGAATTGTTAGAATTCTCAAACCTTTATTGAACATCAACAACCATAGTTTCAGTGCATCAAAGTGGCATGAAATAGAAATTTTCTCAACTCTAGCTAACAGGACTAACAGGAACTGTCGATCAGAGCAACAAGACAAAAGTATCGTAAAACCACAAGATATGATACAAACTAAATTGTTAAGTGGAAGAGATTGCTTGCTTGAGCCTATGACAGAACTCCAGACAGACATTCTATCCTTACTACTAATGACTTTGGTGCAGGGATTTTCAAGTGAAAATACCAAAGTTTCTCAGAAAGCAATTACGATATTGAGTGGTGGTCAGAAATGTAAAAGTGTAGGTCAGGCTTTGATGGCTGAGTGCATGACATGTGACTGATACAGGAAGTACCAGAAACTCAAGGCTGCTCTTTCTTCCCAGGATAACATAGCAAGATGTATTTGCAAGGAGAAAAATAACAGCAGAACTAAGACAATAAGCCGGGATAGTTTTGTGACTATATTTCATTCACCCTGGGATTTGTAGATGCCAAAGGTAGCAGCAGTGCAGTTTACATTATTGCAACCATCAAGCACTCAAATTCCTGGCTAAGCAATATCAATATGTACACCAAGAAGCATCCTTGAAAGTAAAGGCAGCTAATATTTTAATAATTRTTGTTGGACTTAATGTAGATTAGGCCAGAAATATCTTTTGTATTTTGATATTTGAACCCTTTTTCATGTTTGGTATTTGGAGTAATTTTTGTAAATAATTTTTATAAAGCATGTAATTAGTAATTGCAAATTCTTGGAGTATATAAATTTGTTAGTAATAAGYTTTAAAAAGGCAAATAAAAAGCTTCTTGAATGATGTTATTCTTGTTGGTACCTGCAATCTTTAGGTTCACATCTACAAACCACCTGGACTTATCACTAAACATCTAACTAACRAAACATACTACAATGGCATTCCCTTATGAGCAGAGATTATGAATTCTAGCCCTTATATCTTACCAGTACCCTTCAAATATTGGCATTGGGGTATAAACTTGCCACAAGTCATCCTATGGGTAGCTCTCTTGTCTCCTGTTAGACCTTGTTATTTAACTACAACCTCAACTGACCTTAAGAGGGGTAAAGAGAATCTTTGCTTGAAATTTACTCACAATATCTCCCTATTTCTCCATATTTCACTTTGAACATTCAAATGTTACTTCTACAGTAACTTACAGTAACAGCACTTTATTTTAGGGTTCACTTAATTTGAAGCCAAGCTCTGTTGTGCTTAACCYTTCCATTATAGCTTAGAAACTTAGATAATTGTCATGGATAAAATAATGTAAATAAATAATTCATAATGATGCACYATACATCAAATACATAAATTGTATTTATTTTATAGAAATAGTTACCTTCTTGTAAGGCTCTGGTTAGTTGATTGTATCTGCTTTTGTTTGTGTCTGTTTTGATTGTGTCTGCTGGTATAACTGCTTTGCCTGTGTGCATGTTTGTCTATMACCACAAAATAATTTTATGTTAGGAAGACAGACAAGCAGTGAAACTGTTAATATAAACATATTAATTCATATTTTTCATGGAAGCTAGCAGGTGGGTGCTGCCTTAAGGTATCAGGATGGAATTTTGTCCCCTATAAAACCTATACATGCTATCYCAAATTTTCCCAAGGTTTTACAATATTTAGCTATAGAATGATTTCAAATTTTTTGATCCAAAAGATATGATTAAATTACGTAAACAACCAAATTGGTCTTTCATTGCCTTTAGTCAAGAATATAAAAGGTACCAGCTGATTATTTTTGATTGAAAGTAGCAAAAAATCAAATTTCAGGTTGCAGCTTGCAACTACCGATTTCGCAGAAATCGAAAACTGCAGTAAGGTTCYTCCTACATAAGAGATCATGACTACTAATATACAGTAACCATCATCTCTTATCTGGGAACTTAAGATAAGAATTTCTACTTGTATTGAGTACCCCTATTTTTTTTTTAATTTATCAAATCTGCAGTTCTTTCAAATTATGAATTTACCTCAATTTGAGATAAAACAGAAGGTAAATCTGCTACACTTGCAATAATAAAATCAGGTTTAGAATCTCTCAGACTTTCCTCAGTCTGCGTCCCAGTGAGCACGGCTACAGTCCAACATCCAGCATTCCTTCCTTCCTGGACGTCAATTTTTGTATCTCCAACCTTCACTACAGACCGTGCATCTTCAACTGAGCAGAATTTCATTGCTGCATGAATCATTGCCGGATGAGGCCTTCCATGTCCCTCCTTCTCTGCGCTAGAAACGTAATCTATYATGCCTTCCCAACCTAGATTTTTAACTATCGTTTCTACTACTGAGTGTGGAAATCCACTTCCTACCGAAATATTTATTCCCTTTGTTTTCAATATTCGAAACGTTTCACTTGTTCCTGGAATTTCTTTATCGATGTACTCGAGGTGAGTATTTAGTGATTCTTTAAAGTCTTTGAAAATTGCATCTACGGGCGCGTCGTCGTCCTGAAATTTTGCCGCCACACTTTCACCTTGGCTCTCTTTTCTCAAGGCTTGAAGAACATTTTTKATAGCATTTTTCTTCTCCATTCCACGAACTTCGTTCACTTTATCGATACTTACTTCTAGCCCATGCTTTCTAAAAGCTTCCTGCATAGCAACAGCCACTAATGGAAGTCCATTAACTGAGTCGTCGACTGTTGTTCCTGCCATGTCAAAAACTACAAGCTTGACAGCCATGTTGAACGACTTCAACCTTCGTTWTAACACAGGTAGCCCAAGCCTAGCACTAGTTACATTGCTTTAGATAAAAAGAAAAGGACTAAAAACGTCTAAAGCTACAGAAAATAACACGTAGGGCTTTATCAGGAATATCCGTGGATCGGCGTAGAATCTATTTATTTTATTTTGAACATTTCGAAGTTTTGATTATCAAGTGCACAGGTATCCCACTCACTTCTAAAACATATTTGAAGGAAACGTGTGGGGTTCCTGTGGAAATTCCAAGATGGCGGACGCAGTGAGCAAAAATTGTTTGAAGGTAAATCTGACTAACGTATGCAGAGTTTGAGAGTAATACATTATTCTAAAGGTGCTTTTTTTTTACAATTTATAGATTCTTTGTATACATGGCTACAGGTACTGAGATATTAGATTATTATTTTGTCAGTCATTTTGATATTTGATTTTGTTTTCTTCAGAACAAGAAAACGGAGTGGAGTATCGTACGTCGCCCGTACGGCGACTTGTATTTGCTATTCGTACGGGAGTCAAAAATTTCGTCGATTTTCTCGGGAACTCTGTATTCTTTTCCAACCTAATAATGATATTTTTGTTTAGACCAGTTAGGCGATTCATGTCAGTGATGTTATTTTGATTCAAATATTTGACGAGCGGTACTCAGTAGAGAGCCGACTCACTCTCGCGAATTTTGTCGTGTATAGATATTTGCTGAACAGACTCCCGTACGAATAACAACCTCGAATAATTCGTACGGGAGTAAAAAATGTTGATAAATATTCACTGAATAGACTCCCGTACGAATAACAAACGTGAATCATTCGTACGGGAGTCGTCAGAAATTCTAATTGCGTGACATTTCTCACTACTCCCGTACGAATTCTCCGCGGTTGTTGAAAAATGTTGATAAAATTCGCATAACTGACTCCCGCAAAAATTATTCGCGGTCGTTATTCGTACGGGAGTGAAAAATGTTGATAAATATTCTCGGAACAGACTCCCGTACGAATGACAATCGGGGGAAATTCGTACGGGAGTGAAAAAAGTTGATAAATATTCGCTGAACAGACTCCCGTATGAATAACAATCGCGAATAATTCGTACGGGAGTCGTCAGAAATTCTATTGCGTGACATTTCTGACGACTCCCGTACGAATTATTCGCGGTCGTTATTCGTACGGGAGTGAAAAATGTTGGTAAATATTCGCTGAACAGACTCATGTACGAATAACATTTGCGAGTAATTCGTACGGGAGTCGTCAGAAATTCTATTGCGTGACATTTCTGACGACTTCCGTACGAATTATTTGCTGTTGTTATTCGTACGGGAGTGAACAATGTTGGTAAATATTCGCTGATCAGACTCCCGTATGAATAACATTCGCTAGTAATTTGTACGGGAGTCGTCAGAAATTCTATTGCGTGACATTTCCCGCCGTGACATTGATACTCACTAAGAGTACCGACTCGTCAAATAAGTTTTAATCAAAATAACATCACTGATATGAATCGTCTAACTGGTCTAAACAAAAAATATCGTTATTAGGTTGGAAAAGAATACAGAGTTCCCGAAAAAATAGACGAAATCTTTGACTCCCTTACGAATAGCAAATACAAGTCGCCGTACGAGTGACTTACGAATAGCCACTTTATTTGTTTGTATTATTATATTGAATGCTTATACTTTTTTGTGTCTATTTGTTTGTTTATTACTCAAAGGCAAAATGCTAAAGTTTGTAGAGAAAAACTTGGAGCCTTTAGAAAGTCCGTGAAGAAGCTGCCATTGGAATTTGGTAAGATCGGGATGGATTTTGCTAGTTACAATTGTTTGAGATGAAGATCATCGTAATTTTTTCAAACTCTTGTTTTTAGTGTATATAACAGCACCAAATAAAATCCCTAAAACAGTATCTGGTGAAGTAGCAAATCCAGATGAAAATGGTTAGTGTGATATTCGTTTAATTTTTTGTTTGTTTTGAGGAACAGTACCCAGAAAACTCTCAGAAAACTGAATATGTGTGTGTGTGTGTGTGNAGATTACGAGTTGTGATCAAACGTTTTGAGTGTCATTGCTGCGTTTTTGTCCATATTTAGAGCAATTTTCCTAGAGACAGATTTTTACCGCTTTCGTCCGCCATATTGGATTGCTCATGAAAATAGTCTCTAATGCGCATGCGTCCGGTTTTTCCGCTCTGTCGACTCCCGTACGAATAACAATCGAGAGTAATTCGTACGGGAGTCGTCAGAAATTCTATTGCGTGACATTTCTTACTACTCGCGTACGAATTATTGGCGGTTGTTATACGTACGGGAGTGAAAAATGTAGGCAAATATTCGCTGAACAGACTCCCGTACGATTAACAACCGCGAATAATTCATACGGGAGTCGTCAGAAATTCTATTGCGTGACATTTCTGACGACTCCCGTACGAATTACTCGCCGTCGTTATTCGTACGGGAGTGAAAAATGTTGGTAAATATTCTCGGAACAGACTCCCGTACGATTAACAACCGCGAATAATTCGTACGGGAGTGAAAAATGTTGATAAATATTCGCTGATTAGATTTCCGTACGAATAACAATCGCGAGTAATTCGTACGGGAGTCGTAAGAAATTCTATTGCGTGACATTTCTGACGACTCCCGTACGAATTACTCGCCATCGTTATTCGTACGGGAGTGAAAAATGTTGGTAAATATTCGCTAAACAAACTCCCGTACGAATAACAATCGAGAGTAATTCGTGAAGGAATAAAAAATGTTGATAAATTTTCGCTGAACAGACTCCCGTACGAATAACAATCGCGAATATAAATTCGTACATGTCAGCTGCTGTGGACGGGAGTAGTAAGAAATTCTATTGCGTGACATTTCCCGCCGTGACACTGAACCTCACTCGTGTGTCGCGAAAGTGAGTTGCTCGCCACTGAGTAAAGACTCGTCAAATAAGTTTGAATCAAAATAACATCACTGACATGAATCGCCTATAATAAACTGGTCTAAACAAAAAATATCGTTATTAGATTGGAAAAGAATACAGAGTCCCCGAGAAAATCGACGAAACTTTTGACTCCCGTACGAACAGCAAATACTGGTCGCCGTACGAGTGACTTACGAATAGCCACTTTATTTGTTTGTATTATTATATTGAATGCTTATGCTTTTTTGTGTCTATTTGTTTGTTTATTACTCAAAGGCAAAATGCTAAAGTTTGTAGAGAAAAACTTGGAGCCTTTAGAAAGTCCGTGAAGAAGCTGCCATTGGAATTCGGTAAGATTCGGATGGATTTTGCTAGTTGCAATTGTTTGAGATGAAGATCATCGTAATTTTTTCAAACTCTTGTTTTTAGTGTATATAACAGCACCAAATAAAATCCCTAAAACAGTATCTGGTGAAGTAGCAAATCCAGATGAAAATGGTTAGTGTGATATTCGTTTAATTTTTTGTTTGTTTTGAGGAACAGTACCCAGAAAACTCTCAGAAAACTGAATATGTGTGTGTGTGTGTGTGTGAAGTACTTTGAGGGACTGTACATTTTTACTGGGGAGGGGTGGGTGCTGGAGTATTTGAAGGGAGCCACATCAAAAAAGAAGTTTGTAAAGGGTCATGCTTTTTTTTTCTTGTTTGGGGGAGGGCCAGGGACATGGGAAAGGGGGAAGAGGAATGGGAAAAGAGGGTGGATGAACGAAAAAAAAAAGTAAATTGATTAAGAAACATATTATCATGTTCTTAATATTCTTCAGAGGATTATGGATGGTGGTTTTCTACTCCAGATGATGAATACGACCCTCTTGMACCAACAGAACTCAACAAAGGGTTTGATAGCTCACTTGCACTGGTAACTAAAACATTTAAAGAACAGGTAATATCATATTGTACGCATCGCATCACAGCGCATTGCATTGCATCACATCACATTGCATYGTTTACCAAGGCAAAAAAGCGGTAAGGAAGAAGCAAGTAGGAAGGTTCAGGGGCATGCACCACAGAAAAGTTTGAAATTGAGATCCTCAGAAATTTTTACTTTTACCAAGGTAGACTGCCTTGCTTGCCTCATAGTAGCCTGCAAAGCAGGTGTTCTTGTGGGTTTCGAAACAGGAACCCCAAAACCCCGATTTTTCCTCTCAAACCCATCAAAAGAAGGCCTGCTCTGCAGGCTACCCTCATAGTGCCTATGGAACTCAAGGAAACAGCTTTCGTCAAAATATAACGGTTTGACTGTTTAAAAAGCTCAAAATCATTACTGATGACTATTCCCTCTGAAGCCCCAGCCCTCCTCTCACCACCCCCCTAATAAAAAAATGTATCTTCCCTTAGATACTATTGTGCTGTTAAATCCCTGTCCTGATTCCTTTTTTGTTTCAACAGGGTCCCTTTGATGGTAAGTACAACATGTTTATAATCTTTAAACGAAGGAAACATTTTTCTATTCTGGTTTCTGAGCTGAACATGAACATGTTTTGGGAAGAGCTACTATAAAATATGATTGTGAATTAAGCTTTTTTTTTATTAAAAAAATGTTCTTGANTTACTGTGTTTGTAGATAGGGCAAAAGGATTAAGCGTTTTGAACGATGAAACTATCGTATAAAACCACGCGTGCTTGACCTATTACAACTTTTGTTTACTGGAAGGCTTGCTCTCCAGTTTTGTGTTGCTAAGCGGTATCCAAGCACGTGACCACTAGCTGCAAAGGGCCTATTGTTAAGTTACATATAGGCCATTTGCATGATGGTGTCATTTTAGTACCACTACCAAAATTCTTCGCGAATTCACTTTCTCATTCAAATTTGTATTCCAAGGGCGGATCCAGCCAAAATTTTAGGGGGGGGGGGCTAATTGAGTTTCTTTAGTCAGCACAACGGAAAACAATAAAAAAAGCATCAAATTCTTCAGTTTTGTTTGATTTTTTTTCTGCTGAAGGGGGTCTGTAGCTGTGCAGCCCCAGATCCGTCCTTGTATTCCCTCATGAGAATAGTAAGACAGTTGGTGCTAATTAACTGCGTGCTGTAACATTCTATATTATCTGTTTTAAAGGTATTTTTAAGTTTGATTTTGCTATCATGGTGGCATCCTTCAAATCAAGATCATCAGCACACAAGATTTATTATGAGAAGCCMATAACATGTCCTACATTGCATGTTTATGGAGACACTGATAAAGTCATTCCTAAAGGTAACTGTGTTAAATTCCCGCCTTTTTTCCTTACCCTGTGGCAATCTTGGAGGAGAATCAAGGATGGCAAATCGGTACAGAGTTTGAAAGTGGGGTCTGGATCCCAAATCACATGCTATTTTTTCTCAAAATCCCATGCCCCGCGACATTTAAAAATATATTTTTTCACATTTAATATATTTAAAGGCGTTTTTCCCGAAAATGAGAAAGCAAAATTCCACATCCCCAGTCCTTGCATGAATTCAGCAATTTCCGAGCCATGGCTGACGCCAATATCCCGAATCGCGTAAGATTTTTTTCTAGTTTCCCGGATCCCGCACTATATTTTATCCGTTTCCCGGCTTTTTTCCCTTCTTTTTTCAGACCCTAGCAGTAGTGCCCGGGGGAGGGGGTGGCACTCCCCTATATTTGCTATACGGGTATGTGCCGCCCTATAGGGTATAATTTTTCGGCTTTTGGGTCTGGGGTAGGGTATCATTTTTTGACATTTTGTCTGGGATAGGGTATCATTTTTGTCTGGGATAGGGTTAACGATTTGGTCGTTTTTGTCTGGCGAATAGGCTATGCTTTCTGCCGGCCCAAAAACAATAAAAACGTTAGTAAATATTGATTGCAATCTATTGAATAACCGTCTTTTCCGTCTTTTAGTCTGAGATAGGGTGTACAATTCTTAGTTTTAGTCTGGGGTAGGGTATGTRAAATCAAAATTTTAGGTCTGGGATAGGGTCAGGGTTTTGAGGTCCTGGCGGCACACACCTACCCAAGTTGGGGTGGTAGAACCCTTCCCCCCCGGGTAGTAGTGCAGGTCACCACTGGGGTCAGCAGAGCTCGTTAGGTCTCTCCCTTGATTTGAGTTTTTCTCAGAGTTATATCTAGTTTTCCTCCCTCCACTAAACCTCTCAAGATAAACCCCAATTTCATCTGTGAGTTAAAAGCTACGTACACAAGTTACAACATTGTGCACAATGTTGTGGGTAAGAAATGTCACACGACGCAATGTATTGCACACAATGTTGCTGAAAAAAATAACCCCACTTTAAGCATCATCGCCTGTAATAATACGCGTAATATTGCACGGTTGTCCGTAGCTTTAGCTTTATCAATAATATATGGAGGGTTTTTGAAGACCTTGAAAGAATAATTGGGATTCCGGAAAAGGAAAAAAAAAACCAAAACTTGCTATATGTGTGGCATGGAGGTAAGAACGCTTGCCTGTCGTTTGCGACCCAGGTTCTATTCCCAAACTTGGTGTYGTATGTGAATGGAGTTGACTTCCTTTGCCTTTTGCCCATTTTACTACCTTATTCGTACTTATTTTGAGGCATTTTAATTTTCGCTACTTTTGCGAATTGAAAAAAATCTCGAAATTAAAAGAATATACTGGTACTTTCGAGAAATTTACATATGAAAAATACCCTTATTGAAATTACTTCAGTTCAATCTTCAATTTCTGTTTGATTGTCTAGTTATCTTTTTCTGAATGACCAAAATACATTACTATTATAACTTTTTAGGAAAATAAAACCTTTGTTTGAAACGTTTCTCTCAAACATTTTTCATGATATTGTCTTTTTGGAACTCGTGAAATTACGCACTAGTCAAATGAAACCCCYACCCCTWSA